CACCAGCTGCATCGTAGCTGCTACTCCCTCTACTGCTGAGAAGATGGTGTCTTTTCATCAGTTGACGAGAGCATGCACAAGGGCTTCCATAGCTGCCCCTTGTGAACAAATGGCTACTTCCCTCTATCAGCTGGTTGCTGGGTAGGAGACATGGGGTGAGAGTTCTGTGTGCCTTTGTTTTACTGGGTCAGCAGGTACTCTATCCCCCGTACTGGTCCAGACTGAACTCACACCATGCTCTCCTTGTGGCTATATCACCAGTGGTATGGGCTGCAGCAGTCTGATCTCACCTCAGTCTCCAAAGCTGGTGCTTTCTCTAGCTTTTGGCTGCAGGAGTCATGTGTTGTGTCCACGTTCATGTTGCATATCTGCACCTAGCACACAGATCAGTGGTATTCCTCTTTCTTCTGTAGAATTTTCACTGCAGTTTTCCCTCCAATTGTCCCCTGAGTAGTACTTCCTACACTTTTTTCTAAAAATTACTTATACCTAGCCTAGTGCAGTACGCCATTCACTATTCTGCCATCTTGGAATCCATACCCCGCGCTGATCCGATGGCAGGAGCCAGGAGCCAGGTGCTTTTCCTGGTCTCCCATGGGGTGCAGGGCCCAAGCACTTGGGCCATCCTCCACTGCACTCCCTGGCCACAGCAGAGAGCTGGCCTGGAAGAGGGGCAACCGGGACAGAATCTGGCGCCCCGACCGGGACTAGAACCCTGTGTGCCGGCGCCACAAGGCGGAGGATTAGCCTAGTGAGCTGCGGCGCCGCCCTCTCCATTGTATTTTAATAAGACTTGTGATGTACTGATCAGGTCATGTTCATTTGATTTAATTTGAGAGAGTGACAGAAATTTAGTAGAATGATATGTTCTTTACAATATCCAGAAATGAAGACCTGGGTCTCCTCGTGAGAAACTGGAGAATAACCAGCTTAGCTGACTGCTGAGGCAAAAGGAATATGGAATGGGTCTGGAAAGAAGGTACTATTGTTAACTGAGCAGTTAAAGCAATAACAGTGGCAATTATTATGACTTTCTTCATTATTTTGTTATGAATATGTTTATGTGTATATTTGTGTGTTCATCAAGTATTATCTTGTCATCTTCTTACAGTTTGCCTCATACTATTTAGTAACTTTAAATCCTAGAGTTCTTAAGCACATGATATCAAGGAAAAGAGAGGCAGATGCCCTAAACAGCACTCTGGACTCAGAATCAGCCCTAAAGGCATTCCAATCTGGCTGAAAATCCCATGAGAGTATTTCAGGCATGGAAAGCCAAGACACTCTGGCAAAAAAAAAAAAAAAAAAAAATAAAATAAAATAAAAAACAAAAAAAAACACACAAAACCTAAATGAAAGATCTCTGTGAGTGAGATCCCAGTGGAAAGAACAGGTCTTCAAAGAAGGAGGCACCTTTCTCTGAAGGGAGGAGAGAACCTCCACTTTGACTATGACCTTGTCTAAACAAGATAAGAGTTGAAGAACTCAAGGGGCTTCCATAGCCTTGGAAACTCATGACTGGTGCATAGGGAGATTACTGATGCCATAAACAGGAGTGTCAATTTGTAAAGTCAACAACAGGAGTCACTGTGCACTTACTCCTCATGTAGGATCTCTGTCCTTAATGTGCTGTACATTGAGGCTTAATGCTATAATGAGTACTCAAACAGTATATTTCACTTTGTGTTTCTGTGGGGGTGCAAACTGTTGAAAGCTTTACTTAATGTATACTAAACTGATCTTCTGTAAAAAAAAAAAAAAGAAAAAAGAAATTATCAATTCCCAACTTGACTCCCACTGGGATCAAACATGAAAATAGGTCTGATCTGATTTCATCATCATTTAAAAAATCATCTATTATTTTTCACTTTATGTTTCTGTGTGGGAGCAAACTGTTGAAATCTTTACTTAATGTATACTAAACTGATCTTCTGTATATAAAGAGAATCGAAAATGAATCTTGATGTGAATGGAAGGGGAGAGGGTGTGGGAGAGGGGAGGGTTGCGGGTGGGAGGGACATTATGGGGGGGAAGCCATTGTAATCCATAAGTCATACTTTGGAAATTTATATTCATTAAATAAAAGTTAAAAAAATATTAAATAAAAAAAAGAAATGTAAAATTTTCTAGATATAAGCTTGTTTTTTCAGTTTAAATTAGATGCCAAAAATGACAAATTCACTGGTGTATTATTGCTGTTACATAATTAATCATTCGTTTCACAGTAATTGCATTGCATTATGTTTTATTTTTACAACATCTGCAAAATTCGTTTTTATTGTTGCCTTGAAATATATGATGACCAGTTGTGGATATTTAAATCTCACAGTCTAAAGCAATCATAGCCCTGTGTAACTGTGGTCATTTTTGGCTGGCTTTTTATTTGTGGAATAATCAGTAACCTCAAATGTTTGTGCATGGATGTGTGTGTGTGTGTGTGTGTCACAAAAACATAAAGTTACACAGTTTTGCAGTCATTTTAGGGAAATCTAATTGTGCACCATGTCAAGATAGCTTTTTTATTATTTCTGAATTTTTATGGAGCTCTAAAGTTGCCTCTGACTTTTAAAACTGACATATTTTATTTATTTCTGTTAATTTATATCATCTTCAATTTACATTTCCAGGAAAATTTCCTCATTTAATGTAATTTTAATGGCCTTTTTTGGTAACTTTTCTTTTATGTTCTATAACATTAGTATAGTTTCTAAAATATATCCATTTTTGTGTAAGGTGCAAGGTAGGGTTCTTGATTCATATTTCTGCCTGTGGAAATCCAGTTTTCCCAGCACCATCAGTTGAAGAGACTGTCCTTTCTCCAGGGAATGTTTTTAGCTCATTGGTCAAATATAAGTTGGTTGTAAATGGTTGAATTGATTTCTGGGGTTTCTATTCCGTTCCATCTGTCTATCCATCTGTTTTTGTACCAGTAACTGGCTATTTTGATTATAATTGCCTTGCAGCACGTCTTGAAATCTGGTATTGTTATGCCTCTGGCTTTATTTTTGTTGTATAAGATTGCTTTATCTATCCTAGAACTCTTATGTTTCCAAATGTATTTCAGCATCATTTTTTTCTAGATCTGAAAAGAATGTCTTTGGTATTTTGATTGGTATTGCATTGAATCTGTAAATTATTTTTGGAAGAATGGACATTTTGATGATGTTGATTCTTCCAATCCATGAACATGGACGCTTTTTCCATTTTTTTCTGTCTTCTTCTATTTCTTTCTTTAGAGTTTTGTAATTCTTGCTGTAGAGATCTTTGACATCCTTGGTTAAATTTATTCCAAGTTATTTATTTTTTTGTAGCTATTGTGAATGGGATTGATCTTAGAAGTTCTTTCTCAGCCATGGCATTGTCTATGTATGAAAAGGCTGTTGATTTTTGTGCACTGATTTTGTATCCTGCTATTTTACCAAACTCTCATGAGTTCCAGTAGTCTCTTAGTGGAGTTTTTTGGTTCCTCTCTCTATATAAAATCCTAGAATCTGGTAATAATGATAGTTTGACTTTATCCGTACTGATCTGAATCCCTTTGATTTTTTTTTTTTTTTTTGCCTGATGCCTCTGGTTAAATCTTCCAGGACTATATTGAATAGCAGTGGAGAGAGTGGGCATCCTCGTCTGGCTCTAGATCTCAGTGGGAATGCTTCCAGTTTTTCCCCATTCAATAAGATGCTGGCTGTGTGTTTGTCAAAAATTGCCTTAATTATGTTGAGGAATGTTCCTTCTAGACCACATTTGCTTAGAGTTTTCATCATGAAATGGTGTTGTATTTTATCAAATGCTTTCTCTGCACCTACTGAGATAATCATATGGTTTTGTTATTCAATTTGTTAATGTGATGTATCACATTTATCGATTTGTGAATGCTGAACAATCCCTTCATACAAGGGATAAAGCCTGCTTGGTCTGAGTGATTGATCTTCCTAATGTGTTGTTGAATTCGATTAAGCAGGATTTTGGTATGCTGTATTGTCATCTTCATCTATTTCCAGAAGTTTTTTTTTTTTATTTCTCTTTTGATTTCTTCTATGACCCATTGCTCATTCAGGAACATGTTTTCCAGTCTCCACGTGTTTGCATATGTTCTAGAGATTCCTGTATTGATGATGTTCTTCTTCATTTCATTGTGGTCTGAGAAGATGCATGGTATGATTTTGATTTTTTTTTAAAAAATTTGCTGACACTTGCTTTATGGCCTAGTATGTGGTCAATCCTAGAGCAAGTTCCATGCACTGCTGAAAAAATGTGTATTCTTCAATTATAGAATGAAAAGTTCTGTAGATATCTGCTAGGTCTATTTGGTCTATGGTGTTGATTAACTCTGTTTACTTACTAAATTTCTGTTTCATTGATCTGTCCATTGCTGAGAGTGGGGTATTGAAATCCACTATTGTGTTTGGATCTTTATCTCCCTTTAAATCTTTAACATTTCTTTTAAATAGGCAGGTGCC